TCGCGAAAATTTCATGTTATAAGGTACACAAAGATGTCAAAGTGTTTCCGACAATCAACTTAGGATTTTTGTTTACTGTAAACCCGGGGGGATAATCAACAGCGTTTCATACGGAGAGGCTCTGACTCGAGGTGGAACCCCTTAGCTTTTTATATATAATTTTCGACAGAAAAAGTACCCCTTCCGTATACCTTCCACTGGAAAATGGTCCCCCTTTCACATGCCAACTATCAGTAAAGTAGTAAGCCATAAGGTGCATCAGTTACAAATATTTTAGTGAAAAGTCGTTTTAAACACCTAAATGATAATTTTCCCTACCTTATCATATACTTCAACTCAATAAATCCCTACCCGTTTTTATACGTGAACCCTGATTCTAAACTCTAGCTTTTCCAAACATTGGAATTCTAAACTCTGGCCTTTCCAAACATTGGAATTTCAGACTTTGGCTTTTCCAAACAGTGAAATTCTAAATTTGCCTTCTGACAAACATTAAAATTCTAAACTTTGGCTTTTCCATACATTGCAATTCTAAATTTTGGCTTTTTCCAAACATTGGAATTCTAAACTTTGGCTTTTTCCAAACATTTGATTTCCAAATTTTGCCTTTTTGCAAACATTGGAATTCTAAATCTTAGCTTTTTCCAAACATTGAAATTCTAAATTTTAGCTTTTTCCAAACCTTGGAATTCTAAACTTTGCCTTTTTCAAATATTGGTAATCTAAATTTTGCCCTTTTCTAAACATTGGAATTCTAAATGTGTCTTTTTCGAAACACTGGAATTCTACCCTTTGGCTTTTCCAAGCAGTGAAATTCTAAACATTGGAATTCTAAATTTTGGCTTTTCGAAACATTGGAATTCTAAATCTGGGCTTTTTCCAAACTTTGGAATTCTAAATTTTGGCTTTTCGAAACATTGAAATTCTAAATCTGGGCTTTTTCCAAACTTTGGAATTCTAAATTTTGGCTTTTGCAAACAACGGAATTCTAAATTTTAGCTTTTTCCGAACACTGGAATTCTTAATTTTAGCTTTTTTTAAGCATTGGTATTTCAAACTTTGGCTTTTTCAAACATTGGAATTCTAAAGTTTGCCTTTTCCAAACACTGGAATTCTAAACTTTGGCTTTTTCTAAACATTGGACATATAAATTTTCCCTTTTTCAATCATTGGATTTTTAAATTTTGGCTTTTTCAAACAATGGAATTCTAATTTTTTTCTTTTTTTTAAGATTGGAATTCTAAATTTTGTCTTTTCCAAACATTGGAATTCTAAACTTTGGCTTTTTCCAAACATTGGAATTCTAAACTTTGGCTTTTTCCAAACATTGGAATTCTAAATTTAGGCTTTTCCAAACATTGAAATTCTAAATAATAATTAATCAACATGGAGCTTATCTACGACCGCACAGAATGATAGCGTCCTCGAAAGTTTCCCAGTAATCAGTGTCATATATTTTTTACACATATTAAAGGTCTTCTACCCATTCCGACTTAAAATATGTCAAAATTGCAGTTTTAAACATTTCAGAAAATGTAAAGATGAAAATTTTAATAACTATATAAAAAAAAATATTGTGCTTTGAAAAGACGGGCACAGTCTATTGCAGCCATCGAGAGATGCGTCGAAGGAATAAGAACATAGATGCTCGCTGACAAGCTCAGGTTAAATGACAGTAAAACCGAATTCTTGATTATTGGGACGAAGCAGCAACTTTCAAAGATTAGTTCATATCATCTAACCATTGGTAGTGCTACCGTTTCTCCGGTCAACTCCGCTAGGAATCCTGGAACGTGAATAGTAGATTGTATCCACAGACCTCCTTTATTGTCACAAGTTACTTTAAATAGTCAGGTGACAGTCCATGCGATTTCTTAAATGTTAATATAGCAACCTTGAATAAGATCCTATATTTAACGGGGAGCCAGGGAAGGGATTTCATCACCGGCGTAATATGATGAAAACGGGAGGTAAGGGAAATAAGTCTTGCCGCTGAATTCTGTCAGCGCTGAAATTTGGCGACGTTAACCACAGGCAAGCCGTACAGGAGACCATTGCAATAATCAATACGACTAATAACGAGGGCATGCACCAATATTTGGGTAGCATTCTTAGTTAGAAAATTTCGGATGTGCCTGATGTTGTATATGTGAAAGTAAGCAGCCCTGCACGCTTTGTTAATGTGATCTTGGAGGGCAAGGCTCGTATCTATTTAACAATGGGCTTCTTCTTGAATTACCACCTATAAGTCATAAAAGGCACTGGGTGATCGCTCCTATAAAATGGCAGCTCCGGCCGTATGGAAGGCCAATTCCTTAACAACAGAACAATACAAAACGAAACTTTAAGACTTATTTTTTCAATTTAACATACTTTACTTTTAATGTTATTAATGCATACATATACCACTTCAACCTTATTTATGCGCTTTTGTAATTAATGTATATTAATTCTCTAATGTTTAATTATATTTTTTCGAGCATTTAATAATATTCATATAGATAATTGCGCGTTATAAATTTTTAAATCATCGTTATTACTAACCTTATTAATATAATCTAAATTTAAAGACTTTTTATTAAGGGTTTGTAAAGAACAAAACTCACTGAATACAAAAAACACTGTTGGTTTTTCGTTGAAACAAAGCTGTTTCATGTCTTTTTGGGAGATTTAATTCATACTGTAGCATGTTCACAGTCGTTTGCAATTGCTTCATTCTCTTTAACTGACATTTCAATGTTCTTTTGTTCCTTTGCGGGGATGTGTCGTCTGCAACAATAAATCTTGTAGTCCTCGTCCCACTCCTCCGCTTGCTCCACGGTCTGGGCCATGGGACTGTAAAGTGTCTCTGGGAGCCAGAGAGCCAAAATGCCTGCGAGAATCCCGAAAATTCCAAAAATCACCAGCGGTAGTGTTCTGCTCAAGAGTGGAAGGTCAGCCTTAAGAGAAACAAAAGTAAAACTTCACTGTATTTCCTCATGAAATCCTCTGGGCCAGAGGCTTATCTGAAGTTTCTGACGAATGGAGGACGGGCGAACTATTAAAAACGTTGTTGGCACTAATGCGCACAAAAATAGCACGCAAATCAAGAATGAGAAATCTGTAACTTGTATCCATGCGGCCATTGATGGTTTAGTTATTTTAGTCAACGTGTAAACAATCATGGATCCGAAAAGAAAGAAGCTTGTCTTGCAATATATAATAACGATTACTAAAGCGAAAAAGGGGGAATTTCATATTTGCTAGTAAGTTAGTTTGTGAGTACTTTTTCTTGAGGGACACTTATTTGAGAGTGAGAAAAGGTAATATAGCTGCATGCGCGGTTTTAACGGAAAAACTGTAATCATGAGTTTTTGATGCAATAATAGGGAGCTTAAGCAACAACGACGGCAACGGCTACAAAAACGTCACTTAAAAAGTGGATTCGCACCGCATCAAACTTTATCGCGCTTATTCCATCTCGTTTACTTCGTCAAATGTTGGCAAATGTTTTTGGAGTTGAATTCTAAAGGACTGTATCAAAGTTCACGAAAAGAAAAGAAAGTTGTCTTGTGTTCCCGTCCTCGACAAAACGTGAATTTAGGCACTTTCACGTTGTAGTCGGGCAACGACGGCAAAGAAATGTACAAAAAAGGGTGATGCACGGTGCAAAGTTGTTGTTTGGCTAATCAAACCTATTGCTTTTTTGTCGTTCTCGTTACCGTCCGCGTCGTCGTTGCTTAAGCTCCCTATTAATACAAACCAGTAACACGATGAATGGTGTTATAGTGCTGCCTAAACGAGCCATCATAGAACACACGCCAACGCCAGTATTCCTGCAAAGAAAAAACAATGATGATATTGACTTAAGGGAATAACATTGTGGAGGGTAGCGTAAGATTTCAAAGATGTACTCACTGGAAGATTAACGCTCTGAGATTCTTACCGGCTATTCTTACTGTGATTCCCCTAGTGATTCTTACTAAGTATCTTACATATTCTTACTACGATTCCCGTAGGGTGTCTTTCTTAGATTCTTACCAAGATTCCCGTAGTTATCCTTACTAACAATCTCACTTATTCCATATTTCCATAGTGATTCTTATTGAGATTCTTGCCCATTCTTACTAAGATTCCCTTAGTGTTTCTTATTAAGATTCGTACGTATTCATAGTAATATTCCCTTACTAATTCGTAGCCTCGCAGATTCTTAAAAACTTGGTTCTTACCCGCTGCTTTTTTACTGTTTATCTTGCATTGCGTGCAATGCGAAATGAAGGGGTAAATGTAGGACAGATCCATTCAATTTAAATTTTATGACATCAGAAACAATTTTATAAAATTGCTTTATGTAGATTTGAAAGTCTGCTATTAGGTCTACATTTTATTTTCACTCTTACATATTTTGAAGTCAGGAATACTAAGGATTACCATGCTTCTCTGTATTCCGAACGAAAGAGCGCCTATCCTTAAATAAAGGCAATCAGGTTTACTTACCTGATGATGGTCGGATAGAGTTCCACAGTGAAGACATAAATCCCCAGGAATGTTGCCAAGATGCAGGCCTTGCCAATAACAGCCAGTATGGTAACAATAAATCGCATTCCTTAGGTACCAGAAACGAGACAAGTTAAATTAGCACTGCTATTCCAACTTTTTGTTCTGTGTGAAATTCTGGAAGCTGATTGGTTGATTTTTGTGTGTTATTCGCATTTAATGCATGATTTTCAAACGTTAAGGAGATAGTAGTGTTTTTGTTTTTGTTTTTGTGATACAGAACACTGAACTTGGATATGAAAAGAGTCAGAAACTGTTTGGTTGTTATTTACTGGCAAACAAATTCGGTTTCTCGCTGTCGCTGTAGATGGAATTCGAAATTCTTAATACATTAAGTCAGTTGGAACTGCTCGTCTAAAGTACGTAAACCTTTCTTTACCTTCATCAGATGGGACGGCTAGTACTAGCATTCCTGCCAGTCCTCCAAAGATCATGAAGGCAGCGTATGGAATACGACGACCATATCTGCAAAGGAGCAAACTGGTGTCACTCAGCTGGTCATTCACAAACAATCAAAGTAACAGCTGAAAATATCTAAATCTCAGAGAAATGGCATTAAATGTATGCTAAAAACACGAGAAATCTTGCTTAGCGAAAAAAACGGGGCGGGGGGAAGTAAACTGGTGCTAAACATATGAAACATACGCAAACAGCAGAACACAGACCCTGGAAGAATGCAAGTGACTGGTGCAAAGGGAAAAATGTATCAAACCGTTTTCTCCATTCTCTTTGTAAAACGGCTCTCTACGGTTACAAAACAGACACATGTTTTTGTAAATGGACACTAGTAAGGGAATAGCAGTGGCGGATCTAGGGGAGGGGGGGCGACCCCCTGGCCCCCACCTTATTTTAAGGCAAATCTAAGGACCGCAAAGGGAGGAAAAATATTTTCGAGGCCAGCCCCCTTCTTATCTTAGGCTCTGAATTAGCGTGGCCCCCACTTACTTCAAGATCTGAATCCGCCACTGAATCGTAGGTATCAATTGCTCCAAAAACCTATTGGTTTGGGCGGTTTTTAGTGAGACTGATAAACTATATTGAGCTAACGCAGTAACGGACCATAGGAACAACGCACATTTCAGCAAAACACCAAAACCCCTTATTACTTTTAAATGTTTCAAGTCACAAGTCTACTTTAATTGTCGATTTTCCTTCCTCAATAAGATGTTTAGTCACTGACATGGACACTCGGCTTTTATTGTCACCGTGAGGGATTTTGTCGGCGAATTTCGATTATTTTTGCTTTGTGGAATTTTGGGTTACACTATCACAAACACTACCTTGACATTAAAAACATGAGTATCAATGCTCCGGGAATTTCAACGATGCACAAGATAAAGAAATTGAGGTATATGTCTCCTGCCAAGTTTCCAACGTTCAAGTTGATTCCAAAATACACCAAGGCGTTCACGAACCTGAAAGAAGGAGGTATTTGGGAGTCACCTTAATGCTTCGATTTAGCGCCCGGGGAGTTCATTTACTAATGGTACTTCAAGGGAAGGCGCTTATTCTGTAAATAATGGTGAGGAATTTTGAATGTCACTAGTCTGTTCAACTGTTCAACGTCGATAGCTTCAGTGTTGCTTTGACCAATAACAAAGCTTTCAGGTCACTATCTTCTTCATCCAATTCGTTATTCCGTAGATCATAGGGATCATTGTCACGTGATTTGCTTATGGCTTGATGCACTACTTGGTCTCAATGTAAATGTACTCTAACAGTGCTATCACTGAAAAAGAATAGGGGCACTTTCTGTAGCAAGGGCTGTAACTTGTATAGGGGCGCGTATTGGAATGAGGGTACTTACACAATAGGGCGCGCTTAATCGAAAGATTGAATTATTGCGGTAAGCCTATTGCGCTAGATTTGCTCTCAGATGAGCAACTGGTTCATTACACCTTGAGGGGATGTAATAAAACAAATGACTTGCGTATACATAGAGGTACCGGCACGAGAAGTAGAAACTCAGTGTAGAGACTCAAAAGGATCCAAAAATATGGAATTCTGTTGGTCAAGTCTTAAATTGCGCTCAACATACAGGCACAAAGCTTTGCAACTGAGATTGATCTCCGCCTTAGTTTTGTCCATCTGAGAAGTCATCGCGGAACTGAGTTGGCCGCTGCCGAAAGCAAGAAAGTAGTCACATGTGAAGGTTTACATTTATATACAGACTCACCAGTTAAATCCACAAATCAAAGTTCTTTTCCTAAGCCTCGGTGTTCTGATCATGTCTAGAATACCATAGGTTTTCTTAATCTGATTGCCATTCTTTTCTTCTTCCTTCTTAAACTCTTGTATGGCGTGTTTGAGTTGTGCTGAGTCGATATCAACTCGATTTTTCCTCGCGTATTTCATTAGCAGCTCATGAGCTTCGCCCAGACGATTCTTGGCGATCAACCAGCGAGGGGACTCTGGAATAATCCTTTGAAATAAACGAAAAGAACAAAAGATGTTTGCTTACCAAGTGCAATCTTAGAATGGTTTTTGAAAATGGCCCAGGTCAATATTATTCCCAAACCTTCCCGATAAAGGTAAATAGGGAACTTATTTTGTGCAGGCCATGGAACACATATACGTCTCCATCAGATAATGCTACATTTTCAAGTACCGGTCAGAAAGGAAGCCAAATCGTTAGGTTTTAGTTGCTGTGTTTCCCTCATCCTTGCATAAAAATGTAGAAAATAGCTTTTAGTTTTAAATCATTTTTTTTTTATCACAGGGTGAGATTTTATTGATCTTCCCCGACCGCTTATTACCATGAGATAAAAAGGGATACAGGCCAGGTTAATTTGAGCCTTACATCTCTGGCGTATATTTAGTTGACGAAGTCAATTTTTTGAGAAAAGTCTAATACACGTGTTACTTCCCAGCATTTCCCACAACCCTTGTTACTTTCCCTAAACTTTTATTCGCCACTTTAGAGACGAGAAAGGCACTGGAGCCGAAATACGTCCCGCAATTGTTTCCAGGATCGTAACCGGGGACGCGCCGCTCAGCTATTGGTCAATTTTTTCCTCGTCTCTAGCAACAGTCCCATAAGTCTTTGCGTATGTAAACCCGGCCCAGCTTCCTTCTCGTTTTTAAAGTGGCGAGCGACAATTTCGAGAGAGGCACGTCAACCGGAAGTGAGCCTTTTTCTCTTTTTAAATACCTTGACGCTACCAAGTTTGTATTGCTAAGTGTCTGTACCCTTACAGAAACGATTTGGCCAAAATTTGTTCAAAATCGTTGCTCAAGAGTTCCAAAAGTCAACTTCCGGTCGACCTGCGTCGCTCAAAAACGTCGGCTGCTTTAACTCCCTTGAAACTTATCGAAGCCTAAGGACACCATAGGACTAAAATGAGAGCGTGCTACTTATTCCGTTATATACTTCTGGGCGGGACTTCTGGTGAGCATGCATCGTAAGGGAGCAACAAGCAAAACATCCCTACCACAAACAGAGAAGCAGTGGAAGTCCTGGTAGAGACACAGTCAGCATAAGATACCTCCAGTCACGAATAAGATAAGCGAGGAACGACAGGATACAAAAACCTATGCTGACAAAAATGTTGTTCACAATCCCTGCGGTAGTACGATGGTCAATTTGTATGATCTCCATGCAGTATACGAATCGAACGAGAAGGCAGCCGGCTGTAGCAGCTCCAGTCACGAAACGAAACAATGAGAACAATGAAAGACAGTCGGCGACGCCGGAAACTGTACCACCTACTCCCTGTGGTAAAAAAAATATACGTAAAACAGTCAACACCCTCTTAGCGGACACCTCTTTAAGACGGACACCTTGAGTTGGTTCCTGTCGTTCTTCAGTCATATTCTTTGACTCTCTTTAAGACGGACACCTATTTAAAACGGACACCTAGAGTTGGTCCACGCACATTGCAGAAAAGCGCCTATTGAAAAACGTCGCCTGTGAAAAGTGGGCTACCCTTAGGCTTTGCAAGCAAAATTGAGGTTTTAAAGGCAACCGCCGTTTTCGGTCTCTTATGAACTTTACAGTAAATAACAATTCTCACATTTTCAAGAGACAATGCAGAAACAATAGGAGTAGGCTGCCATACAATGATTTCTTTTCCTCCTTTTATTTGACTCTCTATTAGACGAACACATATACATGTGTACATGTAGTGCCATTCACACAGGCGTCTGCTTCTTAGCAAGTGTTGACTGTACTATTAATCCTTGGATAGTACAATACCTTCAGTTAATTATATTCAAGTAAACTTCGGATAATAAGCTATCCGTTTTACGAGTGGGCCGTGATATCATTTGTGGCTAGGACCATCTCATATCTAAGAAGTGCAAGCGCAATAACCGCTGAACTTTTCCGTGTACGAACATTGATAATTTCTTTCTTGATTTGTAAAAACAACTAGAGGACATTTTATGGATGCTTTTTCGCTGTCAGGCATGGTATCATGAGATATTAAGTGGCCGTCAAGTCGAGTCAAGGCCAATCGAAAACTTGGACAAGAATTCTATGCATGTCAATAGTGATCCAATTTATTCAATTTTTTTTAGCTCACCTCGTCCTTAGTATTTTATTGTTGTTCATTTCGTTGAATATGTCTCCCCTGCTAACTGGCCATAGTTGGTGTATGTATCTTACAGAATATTGGTTAATGTGAATAAGTTTTTAATTTGCCGACAAGTGAGGGAGTTTGTCAAACAAGAATTACGCATGTATTTTTTGTGTCACTTTGTACTGTGGACAGACGATGTTTAAACTTCACCCAATATTCTTTTCATCATAAGGATGAAAATTTTGATTCTCTCCACCCATCTTACGTGGCCTTAAACTTTGTGCACCAACTTTTGACGTCAAACAAAAAGAGCGTAAGATTACGAAGTCACCTGTTTGCTGGCATTGGTTCCAGCTATTCACGAAAAACAATTCAAACAATCACATTTCAAAAACGGTTCGTGCAATACTCACCATGATTAAGATACTTAGGAAAACTACGACCTTGCGACCAAAATGATCAGACAGTGTACTGAAGGCGACTGAACCAACCAATAGTCCTCCCATGTAAACGGACTGGGTCATAGCTTTTAGGTGCCTTCTCTCGCATACTAGGTCCCACTGCGAAAGAAAATCAGAGACTAAGTTAAACACGGCAAAAAAGAAAGTTTGAGGCATATCATCATCATCGCTCCTCGATTCAACTTTCCGGTACCTTCCTTCTTTGACTCAGTTCCTTGTCAACTTAGCCGGAGGAAAAAAGACTGCCTACGATCCACCCTTTGTCGCATTTTACCTAAGTAGACTGTTCACAGTCCCCTATTTTTCCGTTTAAGATCTTCGGGATCGAGCACCCACCCCTTGATGGGATGTTTTTGAGGTTTTGTAGGAAGCCCTAGGGATGTTTTTGGGTTTTGATTTTTGCCCCATTCGATCATTCCCGTCACTTGAAATCCGCAATACACCTCCTGGGGCATCCACCCTTATGGGCAGGAATCTTGGTTTCAATGTAAAACGCTCGATCACGGCGACCTTACGGAAAAATAGGAGACCTTGAATAGTCTACACATAAGCGTTTGTCATCGCAAGCTTTTGTTACCAAGGTAAAAATAAGTTGCTAAATATTCAGTCAACTTAGCAGGAGGAAAAAAGGCTGCCTACGATCCACCCTTTGTCTCATTTTACCTAGGTAGACTGTTCAAAGTCCCCTATTTTCCGTTTAAGATCTTCGGGATCGAGCACTCACCCCTGGGTGGGATTTTTTTTTGAGGTTTTGTAGGAAGCCCTAGGGATTTTTTTGGGTTGTGATTTTGCCCCATTCGATCATCCCCGTCACTTGAAATCCTGAGTACACCTCCTGGGGCATCCACCCTTATGGGCAGGAATCTTGGTTTCAATGTAAAACGCTCGATCCCGGCGACCTTACGGAAAAATAGGAGACCTTGAATAGTCTACACATAAGCGTTTGTCATCGCAAGCTTTTGTTACCAAGGTAAAAATAAGTTGCTAAATATTCAGTCAACTTAGCAGGAGGAAAAAAGGCTGCCTACGATCCACCCTTTGTCGCCTTTTACCTAGGTAGACTGTTCAAAGTCCCCTGTTTTCCGTTTAAGATCTTCGGGATCGAGCACTCACCCCTGGGTGGGATTTTTTTTTGAGGTTTTGTAGGAAGCCCTAGGGATTTTTTTGGGCTTTGAGTTTTGCCCCATTCGATCATCCCCGTCGCTTGAAATCCGCAGTACACCTCCTGGGGTATCCACCCTTATGGGCAGGAATCTTGGTTTCAATGTAAAACGCTCGATCCCGACGACCTTACGAAAAAATAGGAGACCGTGAATAGTCTACACATAAGCGTTTCTCATCGCAAGCTTTAGTTACCAAGGTAAAAATAAGTTGCTAAATAGACTGTGCATGATATTGTCTGAACAGACAGAACAACATTGCACTCAAAAACAATAATCAGAGATACATGGGGATGTACGTCGCTTCAAGCAACCATATAGAAAGTACAAATATTAGATATTGCAGTCTCTATCCCCAATTTTGGCTCGTGGTTGCGCTTAATGGTTTCGCACTCCATCTCAAGAGCTAGTGAACAAAGCCCACGTAACTTGTTGCATATTGCAAGTACTGGATGACGATTTTGGAAGACAATCTGGGTTTTTTTATTCAGCGACCAATATCAGATCTCAATATCTACTCTGACCAATAAGAGGGCACTCACTTGATTTAAAATTAATTTGTTTCTAAAGAAACAGCTACTCGAGCCCTTAAATTTCTTGAGTTCTTTTTCTTTTCAGTAACCCTTGATAAATTAAACCATATTCAACGCAACGTTGTGGCTTGAACTTGCATCCCCAGTTTCGAAGTCAAGTGAAATCCAATATAAGTTACCTAATGCATGTAAGCTGGGTATAAGCCTAAATATCGTCGTCTTGCGTCTCTCTTTAGGATCGGGATTCTTCGCTTACTGACAACTTGTTTTATCGTTTAGTTAACATTGACAAACAAAATTGTTGAGAATGGGGTATATTTTGGAGAATAAAACATTCTGCTCCCCCCCCCGGGCTGTACCCCTTCTCTACCCCCTCCGTTCAAAATAAGGTTGTTTGTCGTTTCCTGCTTGAGCAGTAAGGGAACAACATTGTTTAGAGGGCGTGGATGAGGTAAAGCTTTATTTGTCGCTTTTGAAGTAGATTATGTCGGCAAAACGTCAGAAATGTCCTTGCAATTGAAGTGTCTTAATTAACTAATTTTGTTACCGATTGTATTGCATATCCCAAAAAGATCGATATGGTACAAAATACGATTGTGATGTGTATACGATGCATTACTTTCGTAAAAGTATATAGGTGTGACGTTAGGTTGTTAGGGTGTTCCTCGTCTTTAACTCTCATAAAATGCGCACAAATAGTCCAGCAGATTGTTGTGAAAATTGTGGGATTTATGGTAAAAGCATCAAATTTGGCAGAAAGGTAGAGATACATTAGGTAATTAATTTTAGCTATGGATCCACCTGGGATCCGTCCCTTACTTTGTATAATTTAAGGTAAAAATTTGACCCACTGGTTGGTTAGCATGAAAACGAGACTCTTGTACAATATTATATTTGACATCGATTTTTAACTGTTTATAGACCGTGAATCAATAGCTGAATGGGTTTAAACAAAATTGAACTAGAAAAAAAACCTTATGCACATATAAATATCAATATGGTAAGCTCAAAGTGAAGGGTGAGAGACCACTGGTGTAACTAAGGACTAAAAAACTCTGCATGCTTGCGCCACTCTACTGTGAACGTTTTGGGTTCTTCTCTTTCAGAGCTGCTTTCCAAGTAGTTCTTATACACCTTATCCATCAATATGTACAAAGCACAGGCAGTAATCTCGTGGGCATGTCAGGTGAGTGAATTTGTGACGCCTTGCGTGAGAAAGGAGTCGTCCATTCCAGTGGCTGTTATGCCAAACTGCACTAATTAAATACAGCTTGTCTAACCACCACTCTCAATCCAGTGCCCCAATGCCTTGACATCGCCTCGGCAAGGTCAGTATGCAACCCTCCAACCATTATAATGATGCTTCTTTCTCCAAAACTTGATGAACAGATCTACTGTATCTTCTTAGCCAAAGCTTATTGGTTTTTTTTTTAGCATTTCCACCTTTTGTTATTTGCCTACCGCATGTGAATTAATTTTTCATAACTGAAACAGTGATCTTGGAAAGGTGAAGTTATCGAACCTTTGAATCGTTTATCATCATTGCGAAATAAGAAACTAGCAATTTATTTGATATCATCATACGAAAGCTTGTGAGCGTGCTGAGCCGATATGAAGTACTTCATAAGTGCCAAAATAATCCTCTTTTGCCCCATTTCTTGCTGTGAAAACCTTTTTGGCTATCAATTATCATTCGCGATCATTAAATTATACAAATTAGGGGGCGGATCCTAGGTGGGTCCATGGCTAAAATTAATTACCCAATGTATCTCTAACTGTGTGCCAAATTTGATGCTTTTACCATAAATCCCACAATTCATCTAAAATTCTGCACCAATCTGCTGGACTAAAATAGAAGGATAATTGACCGGGCGATTCGGAATAACTGAAGGACGGAATGGGACTAAAGCTTGGTAGAACACTTCGCTGGACTGCGCGGCCAACGTCACAAACAAAGCCAGAGGTACAGGGTCGTTAGTAACTTGTCCGTAAAGCAAATTAGCAGAAATGACTTCCACAGGATTGGAACTCTTCAAGTATGTTTAATCTTCTCACGTAGTTAACTCGTAGACAACTCAAGAAATTCAAATTGAACAATGTACAAGCTCGCTTATTTGTGTTCTCGATATGCTAATGTAGTTCAAATAAACATTCGGCGATTCTTTCAACTCAAATGAGTTTTACAGCAGAATAAATAACTAGATGGAAAATATATTAAAGTTAAAAAAAAAAGTTAGAAAGTCGACTCAGTATTTCGCTCAAGGTTAAGTAAACACAGGTGTCATGAAAAGTCATTACGTATTCCGCGCGCTTTTCTCTTGAATACTGATTAGAAATCAGTACATTATACTATAGACTAATTTGAAATTCCAAATACGGTTTTCATAGACAAGAACAATACTTCGCCTACTTCGGAGTAAAGAAACGGCATAAAATAATCTCCAAAGTATCTAAAACAGTTTGAGTACTTACAATAATAACATACAGCAATCAAGGATGTGAATAAGCGACTATGTGTCATTCAATCAACGACTTTCCTGCGTTTCTTAGTTCTGCTAATTGCGAACAGGAAATTGCAGAGATGGATGTTTAAACCATTTCCCTTCTGTAACCTACCGAAGTAATATCACAAAGCATACATGCACAAACGCACTACACACCTAAGCACACATGCAATTCCACAATCACCAGCAAGCTATACCTACTGTTATTTTACAAGTGCTATTCAAAAACGAAGAAACTAATCATTTTTGTAAAAGAAGACAATTAACTAGATTACAAACTCCATTTGTCCATTAGTTTTTGTAAACTCTTATTCTTAGTGCAAATATATTTTTCTATTTCATATTTACAGTTTTCTCTAAATATAAAACTGTTTATGGTTGGGAGTACTTTATTCCTTCTGGAACTTCATAAATATATTTTTCCTCAAGTATGAGATAATTAAGAAGGGGCATTCGGAAGTTAAAAAGCCGATCCAAATTTCCTTTAATGTCGGGTGAACTAGTAGTTGTTTTCGCAACCCAAAATAATATGATTCAACACATTTCCAGAATAAATTCGAATAAGGGCAGTCCCAAAAGAACTGTCTTATAGTTTCTGATTCCTTTTTGCAAAAAGAGCACACGTTGTCTGTCCTGTACCCAATCTTAAACACTTTGAGTTGGTAAAAAGTATAGAATTGAGTACTTTAAGTAGAAAGGCTTGACATGAGGTTCAAACGCGATAGAATGGGGCAAGAGAAATGCCTTTCTGAGAACTGTCTTTCATTTTTGTGTATAATTTGGGAGACAAGCCTTCTTTTTTATCAAAAAAGGATAATAATCTTTTGATTTCTTTTCTGCTATGTCGAATACGCCGCCATTGATTTTAAAGGAAGGTATTGCATTAAAGGTACTCGAATCCGAGCGATTAAGAACTTTTAAGTTGGTTGGTATTGAATGTTTCATACTAGTCCATTCAAGGAAGTTTGTCTTTGTAACATTTTTTCGATCTGTTCGTAGGATTCCGTATTGCTGAGATCAAAATGTAAGTCTCCTATTTCCCAGATACCAATGGTAGAAAAAGGGCTTGTCGTCTGTTCTAAAGTCTCGATTATTCCAAATTACATAATGCCAATCGTTATCTTCTCGGAGCCGTTCCGACCACCATTTAAGTAGTTCTGAATAAAAGGTAGAGGTAATTTGAAGATCCTTAACATTATAATTGCATTTAAAAAGCATTAGACCTCCCGAATCTTTCAAGATGTATTCTAGGTAGTTTTTCCACTCGCCTGAGTCGTCACTAAATATTCGTTTAAGCCAGGAAAGACGAAGAGATTTATCAAACTTTCAATATCCACCATTTTGATGCCTCCTTCTTCATAATTATTTATTGTTGACGCACCTGTTACTTCATCTTTACCTTTCCATAAAAACGTATACAAAATGTGATTTAAATCCCTGACAATGTGTTCCGGAGTAGGTAATTAACTAAGAGGAGGTGTAAACGATCTTTGGTATAAGAAAATAATTGTAGTTGTTTCACTTTGGTATAACAAATGAAATAATAATACCAAAATAGAATTTAAAAACCTACAGAAGTAATTACAAAGATCAAACCGAAAAGGCAAGTGTTTGAGCAGCTTCGTTTTACCCATCTAAGGTTAATTACTGGTAAAACAAATAGTAAAACGGCTGAATAAACACTCATCTCTACAGAGCTTTTGCGATTTGAAAGTTATTGTGTTAAAATCGAATTTGAAATCTTGGGATGTAATTCTGATAAAGCTGAGTTCCGTTTTAAAGATAAGAATAAACTATTGAAACTTATATTGAAATACTGGCTGTGACATAGGGAAGTATACAGGGAATAGAACCACGTGTACTGCAAAAGAAATAGTCCTTATTCATTAAAGAGTAAGTAAACTCTATGTTCGCCTTTCGGTGTGTCGACGAGTTATGTACATGTATATATAACCAAACAAGAAAAACGGAAGTTTTGCGGTGTCGTTTTGGTGTTTTTCGACGGGACATTCAGCGCGCAGTGTAAATAGAACTGCAAGAAAATTATAAAAGTATTAATAAAAGAATAATTTTCCAATTTCCGGTAATTTGATTTCAGCTCAGCCTCGATAATTCGACTCGTATACTTGGCGGCTTTTATGAGAAGGGTTATCTGAAGGTATAATTCACAATTTTAAAAGAAAATCAGAGGTGAAGTTTGATTAGTTTTCTTATGCCATATGACCACTGTATGATAGATGGTTTCACTTCATCCTTCTATAGCTCTCTATAGTACGGGAATAAATTTTCATGTGACGATGTAAAATCTACAGAGAAGCAATTACTTTAATATTCAGGTTTCTTATCAGCCTATAGTTCGAAACTGGTGAATCTAAGGGATCTTGAGTCAATTAAGAAGTACCCCTTACCTCAGTGACTGCACTAGTCAAACGATTACTGAAGTTGTAGTCGGTGCATTTTTCACAGCACGTTCCACCTTTTAGAACGATACAAGTTTTGTTTCCCTCTGCGTTCGAAAAGGCAGCGCAGGAATACTTTGGAGTGGCACCGTAAAACACTTGGACCAGTTGCTGTAGTCCGATGGGAAGAGACATTACACACATGAATGCATAAAGAAGAAAGGTATATCGACCGAAGCCGCCAACCATGGCTAAAAGATCGTCGAATTCATAAGATTTTTTCGGCTTAGAACTCTGCATTTCGCCCTCTTTTTCGCCCGACATGATGACTTTCTTGGTTTTCATGCACCTGAAGACAACGAAAGACGACGCAATCTAGCACAACCTCGTCACAGAACTTTGCCCTTAACATATGGGTGGGACGGGAAAATATCACCTTTTCCCGCCCCACCCATTTTTTAAGGGAAAAGACCTGGGGACGAGGTTGGATCTAGCGCTGATGGCTGACAGGGCTGAATAACGTACTACGCATGTCCGTGACATCACTTGTTTACTAGTCTAGCCCGTGCGCGAAGCACTCGCGCAAAGTGAAATTCTAGCATCTGAGACCATTTTATCTTCGACCATCTAAACTCATATTTGTGAATGCCAACAAAGGAGAAATTCTACGAATACGTTAGAAATGCAACTCATGGAAAGAAATGTTATGTAATCCAGGGATCAAGGAAAATGTTTTTGACCGTCCCGGCGAAGGTTTTTCATTGTTTTGATGCAGATCGTCAGTAAGTTTGCAGAAAGATGACTGAGAAATTAAAAAAGAGCAATGTGCTGGACTTTGGGCGACTTTTCTTCGATGGTACGTAAACGATTTACTTAAACATTACTTTATTCTGGTTAAGGAGGAGCAAATATTTGTAATGTAGGCCGAGCGATAACAGTTGATGACCGTTTCTTTTGACTTGGTGGCAAGAAAGCCGGCTTTGAGCGCGATGATACCATCAGACACAAGAAGTCATGAAAGTCATAAACTTAGTTGCAAATCGTAGTGCGATCAAAGAAGCTTTTACGTACCTCTAGCCGGCTTAGAGGCGCTGGTCGAGCTGTAGAATCAGTATTTATTCGGTAAAGTTTGTTTAAAATTTAATTTGCACCTTTAAGCTTATTAGTGAATAAACCTTTAAAAGTTTAAAGCTGTTGAAGTTTTGGGAAACAATCACAAGTTGGCTCAGCTCTATGTGAGTTTTCGTATTAACTATAGGTTTTCCTACAGGTTTGAATGAAGCAGAAGAATCAAGGAATGAAGATCTAGACTTCGAAGAGAAAAATAAATGAAAGTTTGTAAAGAGTCAGATTGTGCTTCTCCCTGTAATGAAGCTTTTTAGAGAACTTCAAGTCATTGATACTTGTACCAGCAAGCATCGACTGTATTACTTGCCCATTTACTCTTTTCAACATTAATTTTGCCTGTTGTCATATACAAAAATTTATAATAGGTCTTTTGAGCTGAGCCAAGAATGAGTCATAAAGGGAAACAAGTTTGGAAGAAAGAACTTGATTGAATTCGAAACCTCAGTGATTGTTTTGTGTTCTTACAGTTCTTATAGTGAAACCAAGCGAGATATAACAAGAGAAATAACTAAAGGACGATCATTCAAGGAAAAACAAAGATAAATAAAATGTACCTTTAATGCTGACACTGATATGATGTCCGGACGATTTCTTAGAACTGATAACATATTGATAATCTGTACTTTCATGTGTTTACGCTTGAAAATGTACACATTCGAATGAAAGAACTGTTTTTGGCTTCGTCCGTGCATCTTCTTTTGTTCATAGCAAAAAAAAGGAAAAAATTACAAAGGTAGAAACGAGAATTAAATAATGTATGAAATAATCTACCTTTAGTATAAATGGGAGCCTTGAATATTCAGAAACCACCTTAATAATCGCCAAAATGTGAGGATGTTTTGAAAATCGCTTTGCATACGATACTATTATTGCAGGGATGATTCGTTCGTGCGTCTTCTTTTGTTCATAGAAAAAAGTAGAAGAAAAATTACAAGGGTAGAAACGAGAATTGAATAAAGTATGAAATAATCTACCTTTATTTTAACTGAGAACCTTAAATATTCAGAATCCACCTTAATAATCACCAAAATGTGAGGACGTTTTGAAAATCCCTTTGAAAACGATACTAGGTTAGATTCCAGACCTCTCCCTTCTCGGCACATGCGCAGACCTTGTTCAGCTCTGTCCTGATGGCTACAATCTCATTCCCAGAGTCCGCGTTGCTTTGTCCAGCGGAACGGGCAACGGGGACCTCTGGGATAATCCGTTTCAACTCGAGTTTTCATTGGTTGACCATCTGAGCATGAGCAGTAGAACCAGGACTCAAAAGGTAACTATAAATGGAGGGAAAGACAGCACCCAACAGGTTGTCAAGTTGTTATTAAGCAGGGTAAATCAAATATTTTGCTCTAGAACGCGAATCGGTAAAGCTTTGATTGGAAGGGGAGTTTGCTTATTCTGCCTAAACGCAAGCGATATCGGCTTCAGCAACAAGGTACACAAGATAACGCTTTAGCTCAATCAAATCCGTCTGCGGAAACAAACATTTACATGCAAAGGAGTCCTCGTTAAAGACTGTCCGGTCTATGTGATTGTAAGGTTTGTAAATTAAATAAAGCAAGCTGATGCGAAGCATTTTTCGTATACTTTGTTCTGACTACTGGTGAAGAAATGTCAGCGAGATGCCCATTTCAAAGTTGCTAGATATCCCAACGTTTGGAGAAGAATTGAGAAACGTGGACTTTAAGTAGAGAAGAGTGAGTTGGTTTGTTATGTTCTTTTTCATTTTGTTAACTTCTCCTTGTAATGGAAATGATTAACCATAGCAAAATTTGGCATTGTTTAGAAATATTGCCTTTTAGTTATTTAGTTTTTAAAAGAGAAGAATAATTACAAACACACTGTGGAGTTGACAATTTTTCAAGTTAATTAGTATTTTCAGTCCAATGAAAGTTCAGTTATCTTCTTAAGCAATACAAGCTGCAGTGAAACTTTGCAAGAAGTCTGCTCTTGATAAAATATTGAGAACACATGTGGTTCTACAGGTTTGCATCCTTTACAGAGTCACTTTATGGACATTCTGGCGTCTTTTTGTCCTGATAATGTCATGTATTATTTTGTTATTCTGAATTTCTAGAAAGTTTTCCCCCACCCCCACCCTCACCCCATATCACCTAGCCTTCCTTTATTTAGGGGCTGACTCGGATTACTAGGGTGGACAAAATTGTCAGTAAATTCACCTGCAACAGAACCTCTATTGAGTGGACAACCTTTAGCGGCCTCTTGTCCCTTTCTTGAGAGTGGCCACTTGAAAAAAGTTCCCCTGTCCCAGGGTTCAACATAAAAGTTAAAGTAAAAAAAAATTAGTTGGCAGCAATAGGCCAAATTATACGAGGGTTGTCCAATAAATGACTAGATTCCACTGGACTCCTCATTTCTTATCCGTGGGTGACTTAAAAATATCAATTATGTTGTGCAGCATTCTTGTCTCAGATCATGACTTAAAGTACGAGGTATATTAGGTGTGTAGGATGCTTGTCTAGGGTCACGGCATAAAGAATTAAATTGTTTTTTATCAGTTGATTACAAGCAACATTGTACGCCCATTCGACTTAAGCAGGACCCAAAAATTTCGAAGAATTATAGCATGTCTCATTTTGCTAGTATTAAAAGTTCATGTCTTTAAAAAAAGGTGTTTTTTTTTTAAAAGAAAATCTCTTTTTTGACATGATAGAGTAGGTTTAAGACAATAATTAAGAATCAATAATTAAGCAAACTAACGTTTTGGAAACCTGTTCACCACAGGAGTTTAGCTTTCTTAAAAGCTTTAACAGAACTATCTTTAACAGAACTGACTATCTGACTATTTCTTGGGACCGGACTCGGGTTTAGCTTGGTTACGGTTCTCCATAAAACGAGAAATTAGGCATTTTCAAGGCATTTTCACGTCGTAGTCGTGCAGTGACGGAAAAGAAATGTACAAAAAAGTGTGATATACGTGCAAAGTTGTTGTTTTGCTAAGTCATGCAAACCTATTCGCCAATGGCCTTTACGGGGAGGGCTCCGCTCGAAAGGGGTACCTTGTTCAGGCTTCAGGTATATTAAAGGGTAGCGGGTTTCACTTGTTGAAGTGTATGAAAGGATAGGGAAACCTGTCATTTGGGTTGGTAAAATAGCCCAAAAGGGCTAACAGATGCATTATATGACTGTGAAAACATGTCGAGAAAAAGTTATTGTTTTGTGATTTTATCATATTTTAAAGACCTTGCATTTACAGCAGTTAAAAAATAAAAGGTACACGAAGAAAGGGGTACCTTTTCTGTCAAAAATGGTATATAAAAGGGTAAGGGGTTGGACAATTTTGGGGCGGAGCCTCCACACATGAAACTTTGTTGGCATCCCCCCGGGAGCTGATTAGTTTTCTTTCTTCGGCGGAAATGAGAACAGCAACAGCCCTCCTCACGTCTTAAGCAGTGACGTTTTTAAGCGACGTACGTCAACCCGACGTGGGATTTTTGTATTCTTCAGCAGTGATTTTGAACACCTTTTATAGCAAATCGTCTCTGAATTACTAGTAAACACACTTAGCAATACCAATTTGGTAGCGTTATACCCCGGGGGGGGGGGTACTCCCTAATATGGGCTATATAGGTATGTGCGGCCCCAAAGGGTAGGGTTTTTCAGCCGTTTTGGTCATAAATTGGGTATCGATTTTGGCTATTTTGCCGCCATTTTGGTCATAAATAGGGTAACGATTTTTGCACTGTAGTCTTAACTTTGCAGTCTTATAACCTACCTAATAAAAGCAGATAAAAATTGCCTTTAACATTGGTCTGAACTAGGGAAATAATTATAAAGCAGGTCTGAAACAGGGTATTGATTTAAGGGTCAGGTCATAAATAGGGTATCAAATTTTTTGGTTAGGTCATAAATAGGGTAAGGAAAATCGCAGATTTTGGTCATAAATAGGGTAAGGGTTTTAGGAAGCGGGCCGCACACCCCTACCCAATTTTTCTGCGAGTACCCCTCCCCCCCGGGCGTTATACAGGCTTATCAAAAGAGAAAAAGGGTCAATTATGGCTGCAATGACTCGAAGACGCGATGATTTTTGACACGACCAAGACGCCACCGACGATCGACAGCTACGACGAGGACAACAACAACAACAAGGCACAGAAACCCTAAATTTATACTGACATAGCGAATTACATAGCGATCTTCTTTAAACATTTTTTACCCCAGTCCCCCTTCGCTTTCCTCGCAAAATTATTTCATGAGCCCACGAAATCTCTGCGGCTTACTTTTTTAGAAGGTTGTCCATTGTGTATGATGTATTGTTATCTAAAAGAATGAAGACAACATGGAGGACGAAGGTACGTGTACGCATTGTTGTGCAAAATTAAGTCAATATTTCGAGGTAAACGAATGAAGTATCATTGTTGTAACGTGCAGCTTGTATTTTGATCTTAAGAGGCTGTAGAGTTCTTCAAAAAATGCATGGAAGACGATCCTGGGATGTCGACGGCAGTAGCAGCCATTCACACGTTGCTAGAGTTCATGAACCAAAACTCAGGTTTGAATATCGCAACATTAGCTTGATAATTCCACTTCGTATTGTTTTTTCTTTAATTGTTTTTTTTTAAGGATCAGTTTGAATGTAAACATAAGGCGTGACTGTCCCCACGAGGTTCCGTAATCAAAACAAACTTCTCAATGCAACAAAAAAAGCAACAATCCTCCCACCCTCCCTTCCCCCATGTACCGGTTGTTCAAACGTTGGAAACAGGGTTATCCACCGAAGAATTCACTATCCAACAGATACGTGTTTAGGAAACCAACTAGGTTGTCTCCTGGATAGAGATGTACAAAGAAATTTACATTAAAATCCTGCGACTAAGAACCTGGCCCCAGTTGTCCAAATGTTGGATAGCGCTACTATCCAGTGGCTAAGTATAAGGGAAACCGATTGCACTGTGCACTGGATAGAGATTTATCCAGTAGATAGTGCTATCCACCTTTTGAAAAACTGGGGCCTGGATTTTAATATTTAATATTTGCATAAATAAGCTTGCATGAAAATTTAATCACAGAAGTAAATACTAGAAATACATTTATTTTCTCAAATTGAACTTGCATATCTGGAATGGGGGTCCTATCATTTTCTGTCTGTCTTTCCTTTCTTTTTTCTTCTTGGTGTCATTGTCCTGTTTTATCCAGACTTATTAAAGGGTATGGCAAAGAATATTATATTATTATCTAGATTCAAGTGTGAACTTGATTGTACATAAGTTGGTGGGCATTAGGACGTTAGTCAGAAGTTTTCAAGCAAGCGAGTGATACTGTAAAATAAAACTGATGTTGTGGTTTCTTGGTATTAAGCTCATAAAAGAAAATGCCGCTGTTCTATAGGTTTACTGAAAAAATATGCACCAGCATTGCTGTTATTTTTTGTTTATTTATTTAATATTTATCTATTCTTTTGTTCAGCTGAGACCCTTTCAGAGCTAAGAGAAAATCTGAAGGCAGTGATTGAAGCCTTGACGAAAGCAGAAGGCTCTGTTACATCCATTTCTTCAGGCTGTGAATTATTCCTCAGATTCATAACTCTTGCCTCACTGGACAACCCAGTATGTAACACACTACTGTATAAAGCTGTATTTGCAAATAATAACATGTTAGTTCACTTGATCCTGGTAGGGGTATAGCCAAGATTTTTCTAAAGGTACAAGCCTCCCCGGTCTCCCTATGGTTTTCACGTGTACTTGTAGCTATCTAGACTAAATTTGCATTTCTCATTGATGAAGTGAGGACATCATTGCTCTTGGTCTTGGAACTAGGTTCTGGCCTTGTAAAAATATAGATAAAAATAAAGTGCTGATAAAAGCTGACAAATTAATAATGAAATACTAACACATAATAAACAGTATACTCAGAGAAATTGAAAATGAAACAACACAATCAGTGTACAAGAATTGTTTTATTGGGCAAATGGCTGACAAATAAGGTAGAGCCTGCTTAAAACCCTGAACACCCTGGTTACTCCTGATAGCTGAAGGAAGAGCATTCAACAGTAGGGACTTTAAGATGCAACGGTGTGACCACAACGAGAATGTCACTTAAAAAGTGAATTTGCGTTCCTTCAGTCTTAATAGCAATTATTCCCTCTCTCTTACTTTGTCAAATGTAGGTGAACCCTCCTGAAGCTTAATTTCAAGAGACCATAGCCAAGCTCAGAAAGATAAACAAAATTTTGTCGTTGCTTGTTACGTCCTCCATAAAACGCAAAATTAGGCATAAAAGCGTGATGCATGTACATGTGTGAAGTTGTTGTTTTGCTTATTAAACCAATCGTTTTTTTTTTATGTTCTCATTGCCATCCATGTCATGGGATCTTAAAGTCTCTAGTAAAGGGCCAACACCAGTAAATGCTTTGTCCCCAAGAGTCTTGCATGTAGCTACATGTATGCACCTGCCTAGTACAGCTCTTTATGAATTTTTTTATCCAAACTTCCACCATTTAAACTGTCATACAGGTAACTAGTGACAAGTAATGTTAGTGACAAGCAATTATTGCTTGTCACTAACATTACTTTACTCTGGTAGTCCAGTTAATGGGAGAGGGTGTTAACACTTTATAACTAAAGGAAACAAGTTTATACACAGAAAATGCTCAAGTGTAATGATTATTGCTGAAGGCTTTGTGCACAGATGAAAATTAATTTATTGCAAATGAAATACTAGACCATTATTACACTCTAATTTTACTTTTTTGCACCACACATTAATTAACCCTGCAACCACATTAGAGATTATTACAAAGTTACTCCTTGTATGAGGATACAATACAGTTCAATACAATGGATGATCACCCAGGATTAATCCTCATGATATTTTGACAATTCTCCCTACCACTTCTATCAGAAACATGCAGTGTATAAGACAAGAAAAGAGAATTTGCATTTAATGTTTGGGTTTAAAGGTGAAATAGATTAGACTATCATCATCATTTCCTTTTCCCAGGCAGTAAACGGGGCAGAGATAATAATTATATGTTGTACATAAGTTTTTATCTCAGGTAATTTTTGTTTTTCTTTTTTTTTTGGGTATGGCAACGTATATAATGTTAATGAAGTTGAAACAAAAGAAAATAAAAATAAAATTACCTGAGATAAAAAATTAACTACAACATATACATGTGCATGTACAGTGTGTCACTTCATATCATTTGTTTTAGATAGCCAGTTTGATTGTCAGTTTGATTGTCAGTTTTAAACCAATCTTCCTGTCCATAACTTTTCCCTAAGCACAGTATTTTTATAACTGTTGAAATAAGTGGTGGTGTTCTCTTTGTAGGACTTTCAAGAATGCAAGCGAGTTCTACTTGAAAGAGGTAATGCTGGAGAGAGACCAGATTAATTTTACAGAATAGATGCATGGATTGTTCAGTCTCTTAGCTCACATTGTGCACACTAATGATGTAGCACAGAAACATACGGTACTTCTAGGTGTTATAGTTAAAATTAACAAAGCGGCACCAACAATGTCTTGAAGGCCAATTTCAAATTTTAAGAAGGGTTTGTTTTGGAAGTTTGGCAGCTGTTCAACTGTATTGTAATATTTACATTGTATTTTGTATCTGACAGGCCAGTTGTATCTAAAGAGAGCAGCTTCAGCAAGAAAGAGAATTGCCAAACTTTGTGATTCTTTTATTAAGGATGGAGCAGTAAGATCTACTTTGAATACTTGTTCAATGTACTTTAAACTTCTTCTAAGAGTTCTTGCCTGTAATAATGAAATTTCTAGTTAACTTATTCTGTGTAGATGCACTGTTGGTAATGCTCAGCTGGTGAGTGGTTGAGTAGCCTGAGACCAGGCTCTTTAGTGAGATAAAATCATGAATAATTAACTGGGCAAGTGCCCAGAAGTAGGTAAAGTGAACAAGGAATTTTAAGGAAAGGGGTGTCCCTTGCTGTGCTTGCTTTGCTGGCCAATTTGTTTTGTACTCCCACCAACAGGAGCGTGGTCCCAGGTTCATGGTAGAGTCACTAACTTTTCATTTTTTTTCTGAGCTGAGATTGTTGTTGGTTCTAGCCTCTAGATCTAATAATAATTATTATATTGCTTTCTCTCTTCAAATCCAATTCCCAATAATATTTTGATCAGGGGCATCTTTAGGATGAGCAGTTTTTCGGTCAAAAGTATGTACATAATTTTGTTACTTATGAAAATCCCTCTATTATTAGTGTAATTATGATCATCATTATTTTTATCATTATTTTAAGTTATTAAAATAAATAAATTATATTAATTTTAGGTTCTGGGCATTCTTCTTATTCTTGTATGTAGTGTCTTAGCGGGAGTAACTTTGGTCTTTGTTTTTAGACAATTCTGACCCACTCTCGATCAAGAGTTGTTGTGGAAATTCTTAAAATGGCCACTGAGCAGAAGAAGCGATTGAATGTTTATATCACAGAGTCTTCTCCTGACAAATCAGGGTGAGATAATCATAAAATTTCTTGGAGATTGAGGATTGGTTTTTTTTTGGATATTACCTGTAGATATTTTTGGATGTTGCTCTACAGTGTAGGCAGTGGTTTTTGTTTTCAGGTTGACAAAAAATTAATGGTCGAAAATTGAGTTGTTCAGTGTTTAATTCTGGTTCGAGGGATTTTGGGAAGTCTTTCTTCTAGTCAAGGGATTTTTTTTCAGTTTTGACTTTTGTTCCCATTTAATCATTCCAATTAGTTTGACAGGGCTTCCTCCTTGGAATCACACCTTCTCACAGAGTGAAAAAAGGAAAATGTTATTTGTTTATTAATGTAGTTTTTGGAAGTTCATCTCTGTAATAGTAAGGTTTAACATTGACATTGTGTTTTCAGTTATAAGATGCAGGATCAGTTAAAGGAGTTTAACATTCCCTCTAGAATCATATTGGACACAGCAGTTGGGTGAGAAACGATAATATTGACGTGCTCTGTTCAGCTAAATAACTTGTAAATAATGACTTTAAAAACCTGCAGCATTTGAAGAGCACCCTGCAATAAGACAGTACATCCATGGAAGTTCGAATTTACTTCATTGTTGACATTTATTTTCTCATTTTTATTTATTTATTTATTTATTTAACCCTAACAATATCCATACAATGTCAAGAGATTAGGTTATGAGAATTAACAAAATGATCACCTAAGAGACAGGGCTTTCATCTTTCATCAATTTCTCTCAACCCATCCATGAAGGAAATGTATAGAGATCAGTTTGGAGAATTTATATGTAGATATTGGGGCTTAACCCATTCGCTCCTGGAGATTTTGCCGAAAAACGCGTTTTGAAGCTAGTCGAGTGGTTTTCTGGTCACTGTCGTGCTATAAAGAGCTAAAACTTACCACAAACCGGTTTACAGGTCGTACACTTGGTGGCCTTCTGATCCAGATGCAAAATATCAGCTTGCGAAGTTCGGGCATGCGCAGAAAGCAAAGTTTTTGGGTTTAAAAGTGACACAGCAGTCTTGACTTTTACTTTTCGCTTTCTCTCCTCCCTTCTTTTTTCGCTTTTCTTGCCTCATTTTTTTTTCTCTTGCTGGGCATTTAGTAGGCTTCATTTTGGTGGGAAGAGTTTTTAGGAAAGCTTTTAGGATCTTAGGATTAGGTGAAAGGAAAGGTCGGTGGGTAATGGAACAAGATTTTCATGGAGATTTTCAGGTCCTTGTTACGTGGTTTTTTGCTTCTTTCTCCGGTGTCCTTGACTGAATTGTGCTCATTCTGGTATGGTTTGAAAGATCTCTTCACTCTGCACAAGTTAGCGAAGAAAGTTGTCCTTGACCATTAAAACAGATGACGTCACAAAGGGTAGAAAGGACCTGGATCCGCACGGGCGGTTACGGGCGGTTCAGGGGCGAATGGGTTAAAGGGTTAATTTTTTATTTTTTTTGGATACATTTACAGTCAAACCCTCTTAATATGGACACTGAGGGGGCCTTAGATAGTGTCCGTAATAATGGGGTGTATCTATTAAGCTGGTTAATTTAGAGAATACATAAGGGCTTTCTTTCCCCAGGGACAAAGCAAACTGTCTGTAATGATGAGGAATGCTATTCACTGATTCCCTGAGTAGAGTTTTTTTTTTTTGAACAAGTGGAGCCAGATTTGAATACAAAGAAATATATGCATTTAGCAGTAAAGGTTTTTCTCTAGTGCAGTCCTTGTTAGCCCACCACTGGCCTAGCATACATCATAAATAAATTTTTTCCTAGGGTTTGACGAAATTCTTCACAAAATCTCTAATTTGATTTTAAAGAAACTAATCCTGGCAAATCTATCATTTCCTGTCATTAACCCTTTAAGTCCCAATATCAACATACAAATTCTCCAAACTGGTCTCCATACATTTCCTTTAAGGATTAGTTGAGAGAATTTAATGGAAGATCAAGGCCTTTTCTCTTTGGTGATCGTTTTATTAATTCTCATAACTTATCTCTTGACAGCGTATGGATATTGTTAGGAAAAAATTGATGTTGATCACTGTTGGGACTTAAAGGGTTAAAAGAATGTTATGTTAACATGAGAAAACTGCCGACATTTTGCCTTGTCACCACTGGACCTCTCCAAATGACGTCTGAGGAACGACTGCAGAAATTCCGCACTGTTGATATCACTTCCCATATCTGGGTAGTGCTTCTGATTGATTGAGACAGATCTCCCTCTTGGCGTAAATAACAAGCATTACCCAGATCTGAGTAGTGAACATCAACAGTATGAAATTTCTGCAATCGTACCTCAGACTTCATTTCACCAGTGGTGGCATCACAAAAGGTCGGCTCTTATCTCAGGCTACATTAAAATAAACAACACACAAACCTTGCCCTAGCTCTTCAAGAGCTGGATGGGGCAATCCATTGGATAAATCACTGTCCAGTGGATAAGTATTAGGGAAACCAATTGCACTATCCACTGGATAGAGATTTATCTGGTTGTTAGCGTTATCCACCTTTTGAATAACTGGGACCTGGCCCCAGTTGTTCCAAAGCTGGACAGGGCTATCCAAATGAATCACTAGCCAGAAAATAAGTATTAGGGAAACCATTTGCACTAACCATTGGAGAGAGATTTGTCCGGTGGATAGCATTATCCACCGTTTGGACAACTGTAACTTTTTCACAGACCCTTTATTTTCTCTTTACGGATCGTTGAGCGCGCGTATGAAAATAAAAACCGCTGGGAATTTATTGCCCGTTTGCGCATGGGGACGGGGGAAGGGAAAAGAGAAAATAGTTCTATTTTTTTTCTTTCTCGCGCTCCGCCCTCGTTCTCGCTCTCGCTGTACTCGCGTGCGCGTCGATTTTCAAAAATAAATAGAAAGCAACGTCTGTGTACAGGCTAGAGCAACTGCAGCGTAATGTGTATTTTTATGAATATTGATTTAAATTTTAGTTACATGATGGAGAAGGTTGATTTGGTGCTGGTTGGTGCGGAGGGAGTGGTAGAGAGTGGTGGGATCATTAACAAAGTGAGTCAGGTTTGACCCCGAATATCTTTAGTGTGTCGAGTGATCATTACTGTAAAGTCAAATGTACATGTACCATGCCTTGCAGCTGGCCCACATAATTTATCGTGTAAAGCATTGGTATCTACATCTACCTTAGTGCCACAGTAAGACCAGAGTAGGATGCGTTCTGAAGAACGCGAGTACCCTATTACCCAAAATGCTAAAGAAATAAAACAGGAAATTAGTATCATCAAATTAGATATGTTTTTCCTTCAATAAGCCTTCATTTCGCTGATTATGTCACCTCATACATAGCTTAATGTTTGCATTAGTCGTTTGATGCTGAAATAGTCTGAAATTGACGTCTAAAATTTATCCTATCCGTTGAAATATAGCCCTGACGTGCTGTCACCTGAAGGATTTTTTTTTACCTTCAAAAGGGCTCAAGCAAATTACAGCACGCATCTGACAATAAAGTGTCCGCTTTAGCGACGTAGACTTTCCATGATAATCTGTTGATTGGGCAGGAAACAAGTGTCCGTTGCCCGTAATAACGTTTGTCGATATCAAGCGGGTTGAATCTAGAGAAAAAGTAAGAACTTTCTCCAGGGACAAGGAAAGCTGAACATCGTGTACTTTAAGGGAGGATTTTGTGATAGAGGGGGCCTAGAGATATAGTATACAGTGGCAATATGGGCGCGATAGCGCCCATCAGGACTGCAAACGGCGCACGGCTATTTAAGGCTAACAGGTAGTGCCAATCTCGACAGTGTCCTTAAAGAGATTTGATTGTAATTCCAAATACCTCCTCATACTTGGAGTGAAAGTTCAACAATTCCGGGTTAATTGTCTAAAGCGCTGCATGTAAAAACGATAACCAGCCATGGGGTTAAACGTACCTTAATTAAGCATCATTTTAACGTTGTTTTGAACATTTGCTTGCTGAGTATGGTATTTGTTGTGTGTTTCTTTAGATTGGAACTTACCAGATGGCTGTTATGGCCAAGGTTGTAAATAAACCTTTTTATGTGGTGGCGGAAAGTTTTAAATTTGTTCGCCTCTACCCACTAAACCAAGAAGATGTGCCAAATAGATTCAAGGTGAGCTGGACAGTTGATTGTTATGGCCACGCTTGTATATAAATCTTTTTATGTTGTGGCGAAAGTTTTTGCGTTTGTTCGACTCGAGCCACTCAAACCAAGAAGATGTCCCAAACAGGTTTAAGGTGAGCTTGACAATTGATTGTTAATGGCTCATTCAAGCTGACACGCACCTCTTCTCTACGAAGCTGTCTCATGCTGTTTCAATTTTTTAAGTATATTCGTCTCATTACAACCTTTAGAGATCGGAATAGTTTGTAGGACAGCATGGAGAATACGCTATTTCATGTTGAAGCTTTACCGGTGTAATGTCTATGAAAATGTTCTTCAAGCAAAAAGAGAGCGGGAGAAATGGAAACTCAGTATAACTAACGTATTTTCTTTGCTGGTTTGTTCAGTACTCAGAGAGCTCATCGTCTGGTGCTTGTAACCATCCTGTGGTAGATTATACTCCACCCTCCTACATCACGCTACTTTTCACGGATCTAGGAGTTCTTACACCCTCTGCTGTGAGCGATGAACTTATTAAACTCTATTTATGACATCCGGCTCCGTCGTCGAACAACAAAGGTAACTTAAAGGACTAGTCAAAGTGACACACGTGGTTTACTATCAAGAATGTTTAAACAGACCATGCATTACCAGAGAAATAAAGTGAAAGATTTGTTTGGGCGACGTTACCTAGCAACCTTGCCGCACGCAGAATAATGCCGCGCGGGTTCATCATGCACTTACTTGTCACTTGATTTCAAGGTTTTCCTACAACGACTGCGACATGGAATTGAATACCAGCTAAGAAGAAACAAACGGTACTCGATGGCTACAACGTTGTTGGTCCACGAAGATGTCAGTGCATATAATTTGGGGTCTGAATGTTTTTCACGGGGGCGGCGAAAAAGGAAGCAGCAAAGACTA